AAGCTAAAGACTTCATTCATGGATTGGGACAGCGCCTGAGAAACCAGGGTTCAGAACCCCGTGCCGAATGGTACCTGGTGCAGCGCATATCACTGGCAATACAACGCGGAAACGCAGCCAGTGTTATGGGTACATTAGCTCCTGGTACCATTCGGGGCGGCCTGTTTGACTGAGGCTGAATTTTTATAGTCAGCCGATTTGATTGTATTGTTTTTTTGTATGTGTAATTTATAATTAATTTGAAATAAATCAGTTTATTTACCATGTAGAAAATGATAAAATAATTTATTATTATGTTTTTAGATGTGCCGTGTAGTACTTAGAATAGCATCACCCCATATCTTTCCCGTGGGTGTCGTAAAAAGCGACTAAGTGATTTGAGAGTTGATGTGTATTGCAATTTTAGACGACAGGCTGACAACATGTCACTATTGTGATACACATCTCAAACTTATGTCAGACGTGGTGTAAATGTTCGTTTTGTACTGTCCCTTACACTATGTCTATCCCGCATGGAACAAATGCGTGATATATGTATTTTTCGATTTTTGCGGTTGTTTACAACATTCGTAACCATTGAATGCAAGCTGTATCCGCTTTAAAATATCAAGATAGTCGCGGTAAATCCTTATCGCGGTAAAAATCCTGGTCTAAACTATAATGTAAGATATTGATTTACCAATTTTCTTGTAGTCGGTTCCGAACCAGGTTTCCTTCGAGTCATACTGTATGGGCGTCGAGTGCTTGTTGGACAGGATCATGATGTTCACTGAATCAGCCGTCATCGAGTTCAGCAACTCGCTGATACCCTAGACAGAAAAAAGAAATCATTTTAAGGGAGCCTGATAACTCGAATTTCCTTTTTCAAAACAGAAAATGGTCATAAAAATTCTGAAAATAATATATGGTGCTGATTAGAATCTCACAGAGTCTTTGTTTTCAGTTACACAATCAAATGAAGTTCGCTCGATAGAAAAATATTCCAAAGTAACCCCTTTTCGAAACTCGTTTTTAATATTATTACTGAAGTTTTGAAATAATTAACTTTTTGATGCAAAAGTGTAGGAAAATATTTTTTCTATTGAAAATCGTTGATTTAGATGTTGCAACATCGTGTCGAAAAAACTTCGCAAAAATTTGAGCGAAAAGTGAGTGGCTGTTTTTTTCTGGCACAGCGTTGAGAGAACGGGCCCTTCAGATCTTCAATACGTTAGGAATTTTGTCCAAACAAACTTTACATGGTGATTTAAATCATGATTATGAACAACTTTCTAAGGGAAATCCGGCATATTCGGAATCACGAAAAATATTGCATTTTTCAATTTTTATAAATTCTGGTCGAGTAGGGTAGTTTGATCGTGTGATGCCGGCTTAGAATTCAACCCGTAGGTGTCGTATGAGGCGATCAAAGGATGAATCTAGGGTATAGGCTGCAGCGTTCCCTGTGAATGCGATGTACTGCGCTCGTCAATCGGCCTGTTATGTATGGCAAAATTGGCAAACCAACCTTAGCTTTAATAGATCTTCACATGTTCCCTAAAAGCCTATCACAAAATTAAAAATGGCATACATTTCTATGCTGGGACCAACTAGACGAGACGACGGGAGCTGGCGAGTTCGGAAGAACCGGGAGCTTGAAGAGCTGGTGGCCGAGCCGAATATTATAGGCGAAATTAAGTCAGCCCGAATCCGCTGGCTCGGACATCTAGAAAGGCCGTGGGGAAACGCCCGGTTGGACGCCCTAGATATCGCTGGGCCGACGAAGCAGAAAAAGACCTCCTGCAGCTTCAGCACCCTGACTGGCGAACGACAGCTCAAGATAGAGATAGCTGGCGACTTCTGGTGTCGGAGGCCAAGATCCTCTTTGGGTCATTGAGCCACCTTAGTAAGTAAGTAAGTAGTAAGTATACATTTATAAATACAGGGAGGCCAATGTCTAGCCCCTGAACCGCAGTTTATGGTCTTACCTTAGGATCGTACTTGTAGTACAGCCTATCCCCAGTAATATAGTGCTCCGGTGGGTAGAAATGCATGTTTTCCACCAGATTTTCTACATGGTCAGCTGGCTGGGATTCTTGCTCGTATCTAAAACTGGTGTCTTCGATGGTTTTGATCTCCTGGTAGATTCGCTCTGACGGACCGATGCGTCGCAGCATTTCTAAGTAGGAGAATATCGCTCCTAACACCTGGAAATTATAAAATAATTGTTGATGTGTGGCTAAAGATTACAATAATTTACTAAATCCGTTTATGAAAAAGTAAAATAGTATTTCGCAAACTTTGGGGGCAGCTATCACGACCATTCAAGTACCTAGTGTCATTGAACTATTTTTTTTAATAAGTTAGGCTCCGCATTTGTCTGCTATCTCATCTGTTGGTAAGTGACGATGCAGACGATGTTGGAGCATGCTTGCTTGGATAGTGCGTATTCACTCTCGCCTTGAAAAAGCCCAAGTTATAATGTTCCGGAAACAGATCCGCCGGCAGGGATTCCACTCCTTAGCCGTTCGCATGATGGAAGTTGAAGCAAATCGCTTCGGGCGAAAGAGAGGTATATCGGGTATATCAACGACATAAAGATGTAATCATCATCTGCATGCTCTTATCCCAATTTATTTAGGGTCGGCGCAACATGTCTTTTTCTTCCATTCATCTCTATCACCAGTCAAATCCTCACTTACGCCTTTATTTTGTAAGATGTTTGTTTGTGTTTTCCCTAAAATGAAACTTTTTTGCAAAAATAAGGAGTTACCTCGTCAATATGGTCGAGTCCTTGTTTGGTGAGTACAACTTGTGTGGCGAACAGACTGTACATGGATGTGTAGTCGATACCGCTCTCTGAATTGCCCGTGTAGATGCCCAGCGCCCACACCCTGGAAAACATACAGCATTACATCAAATATTTCGCTACCAAAGTCAAAATTTTGGCAAAAGCATACGGGGCGAAATTTTACTAGTGACCGATAGCGAAAACTAAGAACCAGCTGGTAATAAGACACAACTTTCCCCAAGTTGAAATATGTATGAAATAAAATTTTGGTCCTCCCATAGTAAATCAGCTGATCGGCAATTTTAAATGGCGGGCCCATTTTTTTTCCATATTTCGACTTATGTTCTTTGGGGAATATTGTTCCTTATCACCAGCCGGTTCTGAGTTTTCGCTATCGGACACTAGTAAAATTTCACCCTATATTAAACAGTAAAATCATGGAGAATAAGAGACCTATTTGTGATTGAGTAATATTAGCAAGAGACAATGTCGAGACTTTCCCAAGTGAACGAGGTCAGAAATTGCCATTTTGGCGGAGGTTGGTGTCGTACTTTTTTTGGTTTTATGGAAACATCAATAATAATAATAAATTAAAATGCAATGCGCAAGTAGTATGCGTAAATTTTGCGTTTGTTTCATTTGAGAAAAAAGGCGTGGGAAAAATACAAAACTTACTTTTTCCTAAGATATGAGAGCAGGCTTCCCTTCCCCTCGTGCCCCAGCAGGTAGGATATGTACTGGTGCGGCTTCGACTGGTACTCCGAGATCAGAGACCGCATGCACCACGTCAGGTGTAACTGAAAACAAAGTAATAAATCATAGGTCGCGCACGAAGTTTTCGAATTATGAGGAACAACTTTCTCCAAGGAATATAATGTCGTTAAAGAAATACATATCTGGAAGCCCATACCTTTCGACTTACACATAGCTACCAGCCAGCCACACATGCCTCTGCCCCCGAAGGGGGCTTACGCCCTTCTTAGTGAGCCACACATGCCTCTGCCCCCGAAGGGGGCTTACGCCCTTCTTAGTGAACCACACATGCCTCTGCCCCCGAAGGGGGCTTACGCCCTTCTTAGTGAACCACACATGCCTCTGCCCCCGAAGGGGGCTTACGCCCTTCTTAGTGAGCCACACATGCCTCTGCCCCCGAAGGGGGCTTACGCCCTTCTTAGTGAACCACACATGCCTCTGCCCCCGAAGGGGGCTTACGCCCTTCTTAGTCAGCCACACATGCCTCTGCCCCCGAAGGGGGCTTACGCCCTTCTTAGTGAGCCACACATGCCTCTGCCCCCGAAGGGGGCTTACGCCCTTCTTAGTGAACCACACATGCCTCTGCCCCCGAAGGGGGCTTACGCCTTCTTAGTCAGCCACACATGCCTCTGCCCCCGAAGGGGGCTTACGCCCTTCTTAGTCAGCCACACATGCCTCTGCCCCCGAAGGGGGCTTACGCCCTTCTTAGTGAACCACACATGCCTCTGCCCCCGAAGGGGGCTTACGCCCTTCTTAGTGAGCCACACATGCCTCTGCCTACAGAAATCATTCAGAAAGGGGGCTTACAAAAATCTCAGCTAGCCACACAAATCTGTGCCTTTCAGCAGATCACAGTTGCAGTATTTAACAATAAACACTTACCTCGGTGGTGTCGCTGACTGGTTTCACGTAGTATATCTTGTTGAAGTCTGGCGAGGGCGCGGTGCTGTTGCTCGCGTACCGGGAGAAGTCATCCGGCGCGAGCTTGTTTGTCGGTATGTTGCCGAATGTATTCACCACATATTGTTCTAATGTTGATAAATCCATGCGAGCCTGGGAGGAAATTCAGTTAGGTAAGTTTACAGTTCAATTATAGCTAAACTAATGATGATATAATCCAAAAAAGATGATAATATCCAAAAAATTACAAAACGCCAATCAATTACAATACCTGCACAGCGACAGTGATCCTGTGCGCGGAGTAGTGCCGCCTCCTGAACTCGTGCGCCGCCTGGTAAAGCTTGTCATCGTCCGCTATGTCATCTCTGAGGGACTTGAGGTTGCCCCAAGTGAAGGTCCTGGCCGGGTGGCCCTCGGGGAACATGCTGCAGAGCAGCTGGTCCTTGCGGTTCGCGTCTGACGGGTGCGCTATCGCGAATTCTGTTTAAGTATAAGGTGTTACTTTAATAACAGTTTGCTAGATCGTCGCTTCAAGACGAGCATCGAGAGTTTTAAAAATTGGCAAGGGTCAAACGGTGCGTTGATTGCTCAGTTGGCAGAGCAGTTGGACGGTCCCACCGGCCCCGGGTTCGATTCCCGGTCGACGCTTCGCATTTTTCGAATTTATCTTTTTTATTTATGTGAACCTCGGATGTGAACAGTTCAAAAGACAACATAACGCATGCCTATAGAATACTCAACGGATATAGTTTTATTCTAAATCATCCACAGTTCAAAATTGGAAAGAAAGATAAACTAAATAGTGAACAAACCACGGTATATAAAGATGCTTTCATATAGCCGTTATTGGTCGCCCTTTGAAAAATAAACACATTAAACATTGATTTCTAATTTGACACTGACCTGATTCAATAGCCTCCCTTTCGCGCTGCATAGCTTCTTTATTCATCAATGGACTGACGAAGAACTGGCTGAACATATCCATGGCCACAGGAAGGTGTTTTTCAGGGATCTCGAAGTAGAACGTCGTCACCTCGCAGTCGGTTGACGCGTTGTCTGAGCCACCTTTTTTCTGGAATGGTGTAAATTACTCTCAGTTTTGACAAGCATCACCATAGTTCATACCAGCGGATTTTAAGAGGCGACATTAGCTTCATTGCCTCACACATCAGCGCCCCCGAAGGGGGCTTACTTATACACATCAGGACGCCACAAATACTTCTGCCCCCAAATCAGTTTTGTACACATCAGCGCTCCACATATACCTCTGCCCCCTGAGATACTTGTTGCAAACATCAGCCAGCACGCCACATATACCTCTGCCCCCGAAGGGGGCTTGCCCATATCGGCACGCCACACAGTCCTCTGCCCCCTAAGGGGGCTTGCCCATATCAGCGCGCCACATAGACCTCTGCCCCATAAGGGGGCTTGCCCGTATCTGCGCGCCACATATACTTGTGCCCTGAAGGGAGCTTGCGCATAAAAAGCGCACCACATATACCTGTGCCCCTGAAGGGGGCTTGCTTGCCCATATCAGCGCGCCACATATCCCTCTGCCCCAGAAGGGGGCTTGCCTGGATCTGCGCGACACATATATCTGTGCCCCCGAAGGGGGCTTGCGCATAATAAGCGCACCACATATCCCTCTGCCCCAGAAGGGGGCTTGTTCATATCTGCGCGACACATATCCCTCTGCCCCAGAAGGGGGCTTGCCCGGATCTGCACGACACATATATCTGTGCCCCCGAAGGGGGCTTGCACATAATAAGCGCACCACATATCCCTCTGCCCCAGAAGGGGGCTTGTTCATATCTGCGCGACACATATCCCTCTGCCCCAGAAGGGGGCTTGCCCGGATCTGCACGACACATATATCTGTGCCCCCGAAGGGGGCTTGCACATAATAAGCGCACCACATATCCCTCTGCCCCAGAAGGGGGCTTGTTCATATCTGCGCGACACATATACCTGTGCCCCTGAAGGGGGCTTGCCCATATCAGCGCGCCACATAGACCTCTGCCCCAGAAGGGGGCTTGCCAATATCAGCGCGCCACATAGACCTCTGCCCCAGAAGGGGGCTTGCCAATATCAGCGCGCCACATAGACCTCTGCCCCAGAAGGGGGCTTGCCAATATCAGCGCGCCACATAGACCTCTGCCCCAGAAGGGAGCTTGCCCGTATCTGCGCGACACATATACCTGTGCCCCGAAGGGGGCTTGCGCATTAAAAGCGCACCACATATACCTGTGCCCCTGAAGGGGGCTTGCCCATATCAGCGCGCCACATATCCCTCTGTCCCAGAAGGGGGCTTGCCCGTATCTGCGCGACACATATACTTATGCCCCGAAGGGGGCTTGCGCATTAAAAGCGCACCACATATACCTGTGCCCCTGAAGGGGGCTTGCCCATATCAGCGCGTCACATATCCCTCTGCCCCAGAAGGGGGCTTGCCGTATCTGCGCGACACATATATCTGTGCCCCCGAAGGGGGCTTGCGCATAAAAAGCGCACCACATATACCTGTGCCCCTGAAGGGGGCTTGCCCATAACATCGCGCCACATATACCTGTGCCCCTGAAGGGAGTCTGCCCATATCTGCGCCCCATATATACCTGTGCCACTATTAAAGAGAGTTAGAGGCAGCCGTTGGATAAGGACTTCAAAATAGAATTCTTTAGCCCATGTTTAGTAGTACTATACCTTGACGAAGGAGTCGAACTCGTTCTCTTTAGGGTACTTTTCAGAGCCCATGAAGACCATGTGTTCCACGAAGTGTGCTAAGCCTTGTATGTCAGCCGGGTCGCTGTAGCTGCCCACGCCCACGCTGAGCGCGCACGCAGCCTGTTAGCAAACAGAAAACATATTTTAAAATATCAAGTAACTAAGGGACTCAGGGGCTTTATGTATATTACACGACATGGCTGAAAATCTGTCGCCATAGGTTGCTATTCACGATTTTTCTGAAACAGCCGTCAATTATTCTTCTTTTACTAGACAAGGTTTTCTAAAAGCATGCCCCAATAAAAATGCAAAGAGAGAGCAACTGTTTTGTTTGGCCTATCAACGACTAGGTATCTGACCTAGACAGCCCTAGAACTATTATATATATTCTGTGCCTACACAGAATACTCAGCCAAAATTATATAATACCAAAATACATAGGTAATACGTATTGCTTGTTATGTCTTAATTTTTCATGTTGCCATATCATTTCAAAACTATTTTCAGTATTACGGTTTGAATGAATAGTCAATGCAGATAAAGATGGAAACTATGAACATCCCACGATAGACATTTTTGATACTGATAGGTACAAGATATGTACAATGGTTCATATCACGGATATAAGAGTGCGGTCGGCACGGCACACTATAGACCAAACAGTCTGCAGGGATGTCTGGCATGTGCATGTGTCTCAGACAGAAAAACATTGTTAAGTTGAATACCTATAAAGTTGTGGATACTAAACGAAACTACTGTAACTACGGGTCGATATTACAACTAAACTACCAAAAACCTACATCACAAGATACGGTATGAATCTGCATGACATTTTAAAAGCAATGACAACTACAGAAAAAATACAAAATATGGTCTGAAGTTTAACTAGTGTTCGATAGCGAAAAGCGCGACGGGCTGGTGATATGATAAAGAACAACTTTTCCTAACATAACAAACGAAACAAAGAAATAAGAAAGCAAATGTGATCCTCCCATACAAAATTGTCGATCAACTGATTCGGGAAACTACTATAGGAAAAATTGTTCTATATCACCAGCCCATCCTGTATTTTCGCTACCGGTCACTATAGTAAAATTTAACCCTATATAAATGTCCGTTGCGCAGATTCATACCGTGTCTAGGGACAGTTCTGACCCCATAACCATCTTGCATCTCTTTTTACTCTTCCTATAATATCTGAAGTAATGTTTCTTCATATGCACTACCACGCGACGTTTGTACCAGCATCTCATCTGTCGGGGATATGGTTTTATTAATAACAAATCAGGGTTCATCGGGTCGTTGGACGGCTTGGTGTCCCACTTGAAGAAGAATAACAAACCCTTACGTGCACCAAATTTTTTGGACACCCAGAACTTTAACATGGTAAAAGCATATGTTATGTTACTCAGGAATGTTGTAATTTTGTAATGGCGAAAGCACTTTTAAAACCGGTCCATTAGTTTTTAATTACATACAAACAAACAAAATTTCCTCTTTTATAATATTAGTGTTGATTTTTGCAGTGTGCAGTACAGATGCCGAAGGTGGCAGGTTTAATTCCTGCCTGCGTGGTGGAGATTTTTTCAAGCTTTCCGAAAATTTTATACCTAACACGGGAAGTGTTTTCAAATATGGTATTTAATATGTGCAGATGTAGAACAAAGGCCTACAGCTGGTCGGACACGCGCGAATCTAGGACATGGTATGATGGTATCATAAATAAGTTCGACAAAACGGGCAGTGTTTCCTGGTAATACACTACACCTTGCTGCCAAGCATGGTGGGTTATTGCTAGAATTTAAACAATATCCAATAAACAATAACAGAGGGAAGACTATGTCTAGTGGACGGTTGTGGCTATTGGTTGATGTAAAATCTAGAAACATTTTAAGGGTCAACGGTATATCGCATTTGTACTAGGTTGCAGTGTAATGGGTGGTTATGCACTACATGTCCCTAAAACCCTGTACCTATTATTTGTGTCATGTTTGGAATGCTACTGTCTGTAAGTAGAGGCGTGGTCTAGGCTAGGAATGCTGTTGACAGCAAGTAGAATGCACCGGAGTTCGGTAGCCTTCAGTAGCCTATAAAGCAAATGGAGCGAGTCTATTATACAAACACGCAACGCGACGTCTCGCCGCTCGATTGGTTAGAGCCTTATCACACAAGAGGTTTGCGAGCGGATACCGGCGGAATTTGTACCAAAACATTGCGAATAAGTACGTTGCGCCTCTGCGACGAATTCACTGCGCGTCCGCGACGAATTCGCTGCGCATTTGCCAGGCGTCCGCTCCGCTTCGCATCCGTTCGCAAGCCGCTTGTAGGATAAGATGGTTTAACTGATTTGCTGATGATGATGCTTATTCCGACCGATATTGGCCATGACGACCACTTCTACTCCTAATCAAGCCGGCACTGATGCACACGTCACATCGGAGTTCTGTATTCGGAAGCGGTCAGTTGACTAACTATAGTGTTAATGTTAGACGACTCTACAATACGAGGAAAAGTGGTGTACATTGAAAAAAACACTGTCGACTAGGGAATCCAATTGCAAATCGGGAGATGGCTCGAGCTGACGCCAAATGCGTTTTTCCAACCAATATAGACTTATTTTGAATAAATATTATTATAGTTCACTAGCTGCCCGTCAGCGGTTTCACCCGCTGCAACCTATTATTCCGCGGGAAAAAAGCATTATTCGCCACGAGATGTCGCTGTTAGTTTTCGGCGAAAACGTTTAAAACGCGAATCGGCTCAGTCACGCCACCTATTTCAAAAATATTGGAAAATGCGTGATCCCGTGGGAATGAGACATTTTTCCGTGGTAAAAAGTATCCTATGTGTTATTCCAGATGCCCTTTTATATTTCTGCAAAGTTTCATGTCAATCTAATCAGCCGTTTTTGCGTGATGTCGTAACAA